CTCCTCCTCTGATCTGCAGTTTCCTCACAGAGCAGCTCTCCCCCACTCACCTCCTTCAGACTAGCCAGCAGCAATTAGCAAACACTTTGTGGAACTGCACATCTGCTGAGCTCAATATACGAGCTACTTCTCAGTGCAACAATGGTAAAAACGTTAAAGGGTTAACAGAGGAACCATGTCGTGATGACTTCCTGAAGATGGAGTTTCAGAAACATTAGGAGTTAATTAAAGAGACAGAGGCCCAATTTCAAGGTGTTAAATTACAATGTCAAATTTCTTTTAGGCCATATTTGATATTTAGAGCATTTTTGCAACAACTGAAGGTAACAGTTACTTGATTGTGCTATTAAATGGCCCTATGTAGCTAGAAAACATATAATAAGCCCCTTTAAAAAGTAACATTTGAATAAGTAACAATAAAGAAAACTAAAAAACAGACAACTCATAAATACAGCTACAATGCAGGATGAAAACATGTCATTACAGGTTGGATTTTTATAATGGGAGGATCAGAAACATTGAATGTTTCTCGTTTTAGTCACCGCTACATTTATTATTTTCTGTGAACTTAGGGCTAAAATAGGCGTAATTATTTTATAATCAAGACAAGTACTATTTTTGTATTAAATGATCTGTAAACAACAAGGAAACGCAACTGCATTAACATTAGATCTTGAAGTCCCAGTGAATTTAGTTGCCAAATTTTGTAAGCCTGAAAAAAAAATAGGAAAGCAAAGGTAAACAGGCCATGTCTGGTGACTTTAAGTTGGACAGCAAATCTCTGTGCTTATGTTAGAAATATTTAGTATTTCATCTCATGTTTGCTGTTCTCTTATGTTTACTGTGTTTGATGTGTGAGGTTGTTTTAGTTGTGCTACTTTCTCCATTGTTCTGTGAGTTCATCAGTTCCTGCATTGCAGCTACAGAAGGAAACAAACAGGAACTGAACTCTGCACTTTGCACACTTCACTACTCAGACCCTCAATGTATCAGAAGTGGTGTGTAATACAGACTGTACTATTTTTGGAATATATCTAGCTGCTTACGTATGAACAGAGTCACCTGCAAAAGTGGTGCAATACCTCTTGGTAAAGAATCATTGGTAGACATATTCTTGTCTTCTATTGCAGAGTCAGTGAAAACATGGCAAATTTTTCTCCATTAAAACTACCCCAATTGACGGACCCCGACCTGAAGGCCGAACAGAACGTGGCACAGCTGGCATGTTACCATTGTACAGATCCTGTTGCTTCTCGCGAAGCCATAAAAAACAGTGTTCATGAGGCTTTCCAGGTCAGCAGGAAGCAATCGGGGAAAAAAAAAAAAAAGCCAGGCAGCTTAGAGCGGTAGGAGATTGTAAGAAGCACATCTCTGTCCGTTCTCCTTACAAGTAAATCTAAAGCTCTCTTGTCTTTCTCCTTTTTTGTGCAGTGTTTGAATGTTGTTGGTTATTTGAACCTGACAGCTTACAAGTTATTTTGTTGAATTTGTTTTAGCATTTTAGTCCAAAGAATTTTTTTCTTATTTATTACCTATCACTAAAAAAGTTTGACTCAGATATCAAATAGTACAAACAGAAAGTTTTTAGGTCAAGACATTTAATTAAAAAAAAAGATCCATTTACTTATTTCATATCCGAAATCTTTTACATGCAACGTAAACTAAGGTGCTTGTTTACGCTCCACCCAAAATTAAAGACCTTTCACAATGTTATGTCGCTGCAGTGTTGCTGAACTCCTGTTATCTTGTCATTATGCTGTTTGAACAAGAGAGGTTAGGTCTAACTACAGGCCTGCGGCAGCGCCTGAGGCAGAGAGGCACCAGGGTGAACTTTAAGCCTGCTTATATGGAGGAGATGTGAGGAGTGACAAAAGACTCACAACAAGAACGGACAAGCGTTTCACAGGTTTCCTCGCCACTAAATGTCTGAGAAGCATTACATTTGGTTGGATAGAAATATCTATATATTATATTAGAAACAAACTCAAGATGAATAAAGTCAAAAGTGAGCCGAATATACAGGTAAAGTAGAACAAAGATGAAGTTTTGCTTTGAAACGCACATGGCAGGCAACTAATCTCCACTCAATACTCCTGGTAGACAGGCTTCACTGTTCACTACAGGTTGTTTGAACTCTAAAGTTGCTTGTGCAAATAAACAGACTACTAACTAAACTGTACAAAAAGTCTCCCAAAAGTCAACTACTCTGCATTCTTTACAGAATGCCACCATTTTTAAAATATTGTGCAGCTTTCAAACTGAATTGTGTATTTATATCTATGCGGCGTTTGGTGCCTCTTGCAACACTTAACTCTACGCAACGTCGATATCTTGACACCGGCCTTATGGAAGCGCAGTTTTTGTGTGATTTAGGGTTGTAGCATGCCTCAAGTCTTAATCTAAGTCTTGTGTAAACGAAGCCTCAAAGTCTGGACCGCTCCAGTGAGACCCAAACAGCACAATCTTTGACCGAGAGTCACGTAGCTGCAAAACATGCCTAAAAGTGATTTTTCATCGCTGCTCCCCCCACCCTCCAACTCAGAGACGCACAGTCTGAGTGATAGTGGAAGTGGCATTGGACATGTAGATATACTTCAAACTTCTGCTCCCTCTCCCAAGGTTTTTTTTTTTTTTTAGTGAGCAACAGCAAACACAGCAGATAAAGAATGAGAACCACCGTCCCTGGAACATGTGTCTGCCAGGGTTATCATGATGGATAAAGTGAGAGAGGAAAAATGTTCTGAGGATGTTTTCTTTTTTTAAAAATCTATAAGAGAGGGTGAACCAAGTACAGATTTTGCAATAGTAATATTTGTGATTCCATACACTTGTTGAGGCGTTAAATAAGAAATCTCACGTTTACTGTGGTTGAAACAGTGACACACAACTCTAAAATTTTTTGTAGAAAACGGCCGTAACATCTGAATGTTTTTCTCTCCTTTGAGCCTTTTGGCAACCTTTCCGTTTTCCCTCTGCATCCCCGTACTCACCAGGCTTTTGTCTGTCCCCAGGTTCCGGCCCAGTTTAGCTCGGCTCAGCACAAGCCCTGTCCCTATGAACCCAAGTTGACTGACCCCAAAGTGCGACGTGCGCACAATGAATTCATTGAAAGGCAAAAAAGCGAGGGAAGACAATTTCTCAGGAAAAGGACAATGGGCGTTCTCCTCCATTTGGCTCACCCTTTCATCCTTGGACGTCCACAAGGGACGCAATTGTTTGGACACAAAGCGATACAGGGCGAAGCTTTAGAAGACGCATCGCTTTTAATTAACTGTTGGTAATGATCTCATTATTGGGGCTAAGCGGGTTTCCCGGGCTCAGCGTTGCGCACAGAGGTGATTCTGGGGTCACTGTTGTCAAGGCCCCCACTCTAACCGACAAAATATGGAGGAATTTGTCATGCCGCCACGGTGCATCAGCTCAGACACTGCTAGACTCCACCAGACCATTCAGAGGACAGGAACTATCTTGTCCCATCACAACAAAAAGCTGGAAGTTGACATATTACACCAGGTTTTATTTTTTCATTCTAATTAATTTGATTAAAATTGTTTTTGAATATTTTGTGGCATTTTATTCAATTGGTTCATTTTAAGTGTCCAGTAGAATGACAATAAAGTCTTTCTACGTCTATGTTTATTCACATGTAAAGACATCCATGAGATTTAAAAGAGCCATAGTTGTGGCGACTCCATTAGGTCTTTTTTGTATTTGCTGGTGGAAATAATTGAAGTTAAGGATAAAAAAAGTTTGAATTTCTTGCCTAAAAAGTGTGAAACACAAGAGGCAGTTGGCATATTCATGGAGGGAGGGGGTGTTGAATATAGAAACAGACAAGGAAAGGGGAAGAAACGGGGAATTTTCAACGTCTTATCTCCAGACAGGCCTGGAGGAAGGCTGGCTCCCCTCCCAAGGACAGTCCTTAACCGCTCCTATCTGCCCGTCTCACACAAACACCCACCTAACGGATCCAACGTGCATACACTCACATGATTTCCTGCATATCTACATTCATCCGTCTAGTTTAAAGAAAGAGGCGAAGAAGGAATTTATGGTTTTAGCTTATCTGATCTCATGGACCAACAGAAAAAACGGATGGAAGTCTACGCAGCATTTCATGTAATGTCGATGGTTTGTTTTATGGAGATCAATTCGATGGAGAAAATATGAGAAAATATGTTTTCTCCTTATTCAGTTCCATGAGAGCAATCACAAATCATTCATGATTTACTCAGCCACCAGTCGATCCCGCCATGGGATTTTTAGTAACGTGTGGACGTCCAACTTACTGCTCTACAAAACCACTTGGTGTTCTGTGAAGTATGCTCAGGGTCAGGGAACTTTCACACTGTTTTGACACTGAGCCAACACTAAACCTACACTCCTGATATGTTGGCTTGATGAAAAAGTACTAGTTCCACTGACAGAGTATGTCACTTGTAATGTGAAAAATTTAATGTTACAAGTGAAATAATCTGCCAAAGGAACTAGAACTAGTACAAGCTCCTACCTTGCTCCTACCTTGCTGAAAAGTTACTTGTCACCAGTGGTGGAGAAAGTACTCAAAAATGTACTTAAGTAAAAGTACAAATACATAGACAAAAATGTACTCTAGTAAAAGTAAAAGAACCACATTAACATTTTTACTTAAGTAAAAGTAAAAAAGTACCGACTTTTAAAAATACTTAAGTATTAAAAGTAAAAATACTTGCTGAATGCATTACCTAATCCCTAAAACAATATCATTAAGTGCAGTGGTGGGAAGTAACGAAGTACAAGTGCTTTGTTACTGTACTTAAGTACAATTTTCATGTATCTGTACTTTACTTAAGTAGATTTAATGGAGGACATTTTCTAGTTTTACTCCACTACATTTTACAGTAAGTATCTGTACTTTCTACTTCATTTCATTTCTACAAAACCGTCACCTTACTCATTACATCCGAGACGCATTGCACTTTTTATTTATTTATTTTTTTGTTAAAATGTGAAGTTCAGGGACTTAACGTAGCGCTGTAAAATCAAAGCAATAACGTGACTTACTAATTACGTGGTCTGTTGTTACCCATTGACTCCCCCTTTCACTCGCACGCGGCGCTCCAAGACATGCACAGTGGTTTTCTCTGAGCGGGAGGAGAAGATGTTGGTTTAATTATCAGTAATAGCATTCCGCTACATAATTCTTTTAAGCGACAGCTAACTCAGCAGCGCTTCGCTTTCACAGATGGTGGGGACTATGTCTAACTTTTATCGTCACTTGGAAAGAAAGCTTAGAAAGGTAAGCTCTGTGGATGTGATGCTAGCAAAGCTAGCTGTACAGGGCTAAATATGTCCCATTTGTGATAAATAAGCGTTGTCACTCACTGTGCTGAATTATTGTGTGGAGGTGTTCACTGACATGTCGCATGTATGGGACAATGCTGTGACCAAAGTCTGCAATATACTGATGTGGCATTCATGAATGATCCGATTCTTCTGGACGGATCTTTACTATGTCCTATAGAACTGAAGCCTCACTGAGAGCCGCTCTTTGTTCTTGTAATGCTCTGCGTACACTGCAGGAGCTATTATTATTTTTATTTAATTTAAAACTATATAGATTTATTTAATTGGTGAATAGATAAAACAAGAAATGAAGAGCATGCCCATTGCTCTTTGATTGTTTTTGTCACCTCTCACTATTAAACATAGTAATTAAGGCAATGCATTAACGGTAAACAACACTCAACTATGAACACAGCAAGCAAGAAGTAACCAAGCAGAAGGAGCACCGTGACTGAATTAATTCTAAAAGGAAAATAAACCAAGAATTTATCAAGAAAATAATATGCATGCCTGTGATGCAGTTTCGCTAGCTGTGCACTCAAAATAAGTGTTGCAATTGTTCATATCTGGCTTTGCAAATTGGCTGCACAACTAGTTTGGGGTGTTGCCCCCAAAAAACACACTGAACGTACACCAACAAACCGTAACAATCATTTAATGATGCTGTCATCAGGATTCTGGGATCAGAACACATCCTTCTCGTTATGAAGTTTGCTTGCTGTGATTCCTTTGTTGCCCTGATTTGAGAAGCGTGAGGCCATAGTTTATTAGTTGTATTCAACACCAAGGTACATAAACTTTGCAATCAAAAGCTGTGTTTCTGAATTCACACCACTAATTACTGTCAGTGAGCTGTTTGCAACTTCACATGACATGCCTTCAGGCTGTCTGACAAGGGCAAATGTTTTACTGTGAAACCAGAAGTGGTGCTATGAAACATGCAAAGTATTGATAATGAAACTACTGGGACACCAGAAGGCTCAACGTAACAAGCCTCAGGAATGCACACCATAAATATGTTACCTGTGTAAAGCCAATTAAAGCTGATCCATGAGGACAGGATGCATCTGTGAATCTCTGCCTCTTTAAAGGTGGAGTATTTTATTTTATTTTTCAGGTACATAGTGCCATTTTATAGCACAATCAAGTGACAATGTTGCCTTCAGTCATTGTAAAAACATTCTATATATCAAATATATTGACTTCACATTTTAACACCTTGAAATTGGGTCTCTGTCTCTTTAAGAAACTTCTGTTCTACTGATGAAGAGTGAATAGCATCATAGCATAACGTGAAGCTAAAAAAACCCTCGATTTTAGACAATACTAACCGTTTAAGAAAAAAAAAACTAAACTTATGAAACACGTCCCTCATCTGCTCATAGTTTATGTGTTCTTTCATGACCATTGAACTTTGCTGTGCAGTTAATTAAGTGCACAGATTTGGTTGCTCCATAATCCACTAATACTACTGCCTACTACCTGGGACAGGGGGAAAAAAAGACACAATACCTGTTTTATTTATGATTTGGATGTTTGCCAAGGAGCTAATTATAGTTAATAGACCATTCTGTGCAGCATCATAATGTAAATGGAATGTTTTACATACTCATAAAGACAGAATATGAACACTCCTATAGTGGGCCTTAAGCGGAGCCACATAGGCCCCAGCAGATCTGAGCCCAGAGCAGGAGAGATGCTGGGAGGCAAACAGAAGCTTCAAAGGAAAGGCATTTCCTGGACTCCCCAAGACTAAAGTACGAGAAAGCACGCAACATGGCTGCACACTTTTATTAAGTGCCTCTGCATTTAAGTGACTTGGCCACTTTTAAAGGAGTCAGTTGCTTCTTGTCCTTTTAACTTTCTAAACATGGTGCGGTGGGCATTCTCTGTCAAGTGGTGCACTAACGGAAGGAAAGAGGAAGAGTTGCTGATAAGAAGAAGCTAAACGGCGTCGGTGCAGGGCAAAACAGACTCCAAACGTCTTCTCTCTTGTTCCCTTCGGCCCTCAAACACACTTCAAACACTGTCAGATATTCTCGGGCTGTGCCGTCTTCCTCAGGTGCAGAATCTGAGTCAGTCTGAGTGAGTATGTTGAGGTAATGACACAACTTGTAGCCACGCCGCAGCCTGGTCCATCTGGAGAACACCTTCACGCTGATTGGATACATCTTGTAGCTGCTCTGTCACTGAAGACTGTAGAATATTTTATTTCGTTGTGAAACAGGACAATAAAGCAGTTTGTAGTATTTTTGCAGGAATATGTATATGACTGGAGATCTGTTTCTGTCAGAAACAGCTTTGAACAGAAAGCATAGCCTTTTTCAATGGCTATGCTTAGCCCAGATCTACTCTACTGAGTCCACATTGTGAGTCTTTTCATTACTGGTTTTTCATAGTATTGTACCTGCTGAAAAAGGCTAAAATGTGACATGAACAGACTGATGTTCACTATTAGGCCATGGGGTGAGGAGAAATGAGTAAACTTTAACCGAGGTAGCACATGGAAATTTTAAAGGGGCAGTACTGTGTGTTTTCCATGGTCATAGTGCCATTGTATAGCACAATAAATTAACTATGTTATCTTATACAGTTTCTTTAATTAAAGCTTCAAACTAATTTTACTTAGTAATTTAACGCCTTGAAATTGTGACTTTGTCACTTTAAAAACTCCTTCTCTGTCTGAAACTTTGCCTTCAAGACATCACAACATGGCTCCTCTGTTAACCCTTTAACAACATTTCTACCAATGTTGCACTGAGAAGTAGCTGCTATAATGAACTCAGTAGATCCAGTTCCACCAGGTGTTTTCTAGGGGAGATACAAGGGAAAGCTGCTCTGTGAGGCAGAAGCTTGGAAGCATGGAAGCATGGAAACTGTAGCTCAGAGGAGGAGCTGTGTCTTGAAGGCGGAGCTAGTTCCACCCAGGCGATTTGAATAGCTGAATCGTTGCCATGGAGATTAAAATATTTCTCAAACATACATGAAAGAATCAATGCAACACTCCAGGTATGTTTTTGATGAGGGAATAGGATTATAAACAATTTAAAGCTCAAAAAAGTCAAATTTACATAATAGTGCCTCTTTAAAACTAGAAACTTTACAGAGTTTTTATCCTTTTCTGACAAAAATTATTTCTGCCTCACCTGAATCTGCATTGATTTTTTTTCTTTTTTGGCTGTCCACCTGAAAAGAAATGTTGACTTTGTCACAATCTACCACTAAAAATTAGCATTTAGAGATAGTCCAACATGCCCAATGACAAGTGTAGACTACTTGCTTATTAGAGTCTTTGGAAAGGATTTATGAAAGAGATAGATGCTTTATGAATGAAGGATGAACAGTCAATTCTTACCACAAATGATATGAATTCTTTAATAGTGAAAATATCACCTTTTTTGACTTGAGATACATTTATAGGATGATTGTTTACCTATTTTTAGACAAAACTATAGCAAATGTGTGAGCAATCTCAGCTGAAGATCAGAGTCCAGAAATTTTTACTAGCAAAGAATGAAGGTAGGAAATGTAATATGAATGTAAATTTATGTTAATAAGGTCCCAGCAGGAGTAAGAAATGAGAGCCCCCCTCCCTTCCCTGCCTCTTATTCACTCAAAGTAAACGAAGTAAACATCGTAAAATTGAAATAAAATTAGACAATGGTTAGATCAAAGTAGGCTTTCCAGCTGCATGGTGCTCAGCCTGCACTGCCTGCACTGCTGGTGACAGAATCAACCGCAACTAAGCATATACAAGTTCCAAAACAAACAGGGGAACAAAAGGAGCAAACCCGTCTTGTGATGTCTGATCGTACCCCAGGGCGCTTACGTGCTCCCTCCAATCTCTTTCTTCCCCCCTCCCCCAGTGTTGGCATGCGCTCGCTCGTTCGCTGCCAACTCCCGTGAGTTCAGCTCCAACTTTCTGCACACAAACAACATTCATTTGACCACAGAGTCCGTACACGTAACGCACGCTGAGTGCCTATAGCGGGTCAGGAGGCCCGCTTTGGCAGTTAATGACTCAGAGTTAATTTTTTTTTTTTTTTTTTTTTTTTACTGTAAATAGAACTGAATGGAATGGTTGTAAGATACGTTTATGACGTACATTTATGATTATTGGATGGTAAGATTGTTCACGCACTGCTGAAGGCTGAGGAGTTCCTTGATGACCTCACTGTCTCTCTCAGATTCATATAAGTGAGGCTTAGATGTTACTTTAGATGGTGTAATAGTGTGGATGTTTGTGTACGTGTGATAGTCCTTCATTCGAATTTCTTTACTTCTCTGATCATTTACTGAGGATTCAAATAGTGAAACATTATGCTCATATGAGATTCATTGTATTTGTGTGAAGCTTATTTTAGTGAATACTCAAGGGTTCCAGTTAGTGAAGGTAATGAGAACTGAGTTGTAGTGAGTCAAGTTTATTTAACTAAGGACAGCACATAAAATGATTTTACACAATAAAACAATGCAACCGTTGTTTTATTACCATGGAAAGGTATTCTAACCAAAAGTTACTTTATTTTTGACTTTTTATTAAGAACTGAAAAACGTAACTAATCAGTCTACACACACATTTCTGTTTCATTGTATTTATGTGGACTTGCATTGAATTCCATTAATTTCTATAGCCTAACCCTGACCTATTACTTTAGCCTAACTACCTCGAGTGTATACCAAACCCTAACTCAATTCACACCTCCTAACCCCCCAAATTAGGCTTTTACGATGTGGACATGGCAAAATGTCCTCACAACTATAAATGTCCTCACAACATTGGTTGTTTGTCAAGGGTAACTCCTACCAACGATGGCTTTCCTTTGTCATTTAAGAAAGGTGTTGAAGTAACATCTTACGCATTTTTTAACCTGGGAATTAAAAACAATAGAATATATTAACATTTTTATCATTGATGGTGCACTGTTCCAGATACGAGGAGATGAACGAAGATTGACCAAATGATTTTTTTAGTGGTTGCAACAAACCACTTGTTGCCCGTCTTGTCTCGCTTGTCTTTTAGAATCATTCTGCTCACTACCTCTGGGACAAGCGGCAAGCCCATTGATGCATTTAAAAGTCAAGTTTTAAAAAGGTCAGCTTTAGAACAAGGTCTATGTGTGTGTTGGTGTTGGTGATGAGAGTGGGAGGTGTTTACAGAGCGCATTCTTTCGGAGTCCTCGCAAATTTAGGTGTTCAAGCGTGTGTTTGCACGCTGAATGCTAATAGCTTCAGCATTAGTTGGTGAAGTCTTGAGTCTAAACATCCCCCAGGGGGTTCTCAACAGACAGCATAAACACTGCTAACATAATGAAGAGCTGGAAAGACAATACAAGCACCCTCCTCCGTTCCCTAACAACACACGCTCCACCGCATGCCTCCCTCCCACCAAACAGCAGCTATATGACCACAGCCACACCCTCAATACACCACATGAAATAGAAAAGAAAAAAAAATATGGATGTGGTTTAATTAAGATTGATCGAAGGCCATCCTCCACCCTTCCTTCTGCACAGTGGGAGCTAAGTGTTTGTACACAGACTACTGGCTACTGCTAATTGAACTGCCGCACCCTCTGAACTGCCTGAGGGGACGTGGGGGGCGGGGAGCGTTAGGGGGGACTCCACCAGGCAGCACGGTAAATATTTGCTTTTTATCTTCTTTGCTCCTCTGCTGACTCAAGTGTTTGCATCTCTCCTCCTTCCTAATTCACTCAATCTCCCATCTTGTTGTTTTCTTCCTTCATAAAATAAAAACAATTAGCCTGAAGGCTAATTGTTGGCAGTGGATCTTCTGTTAAAAATTTGATCCAGTATACCCAAGTGTCTCCGTTCTGACACCCTTTATTTCAATGCATAGCTACTAAATTAAACACACACACACTCTCTGCAAAGATGTGGTAGGACATGATGCCAGAACTACTGTTAACATCAGCAGCTTTTGGAATCTGAAATCAGGTATTACTTCTCCAAATACTTAGTCTTAATGTCCATTTTTCATAGATTCTAATGCCAGTCAGTTGTTAAACAATGTTTCAGCAGTAGTTAACATTCTGTGATTAACATCATGCAGGCAAACAGCACCAGGGAAATGAATGATGCTCCTGGACTGGTCTTTTGGTAAATGCCAGCCAGCGGCACGTCAAGCACTATTGTATTTCAAAGTATTTTAGCTTCCTAATTGCGTTTTCTTTCCAGTATTTTAGGTGTGCACAATGGAAAAAAATCATGAGTCATGAATAGGCAAACGTCCACTGTTCTATGATCAGGCATCTCTTACTGGTCTTATGTCCTGTACTACACTGTTTCTCACTGAGTCCCACGCTAAGAAATGTATGCGTTTCTTAGAATCTGGACCAGGATTAATACTCACACATATAGCAAAATTTAAAAGGTTCCAACAGTCACACAGATATTTGAGCTGTGGCATTGCCCCAATGGCACAGATCTCTGGCATTGTGATTGTGCAATATGTTTCATCATTGTTTCTTTTTTTTCACTGCTTAAAATCTTAATAGACCTGAACTTTGTTTCCTCCAAGTTTGGAACCACAGTCTTTGACATCATCCGTCTCTTCTGGAATGGGAACTGTGAGCTTTTGAGCTTTGACCTTGACACAGTATAGTTTCTTTTAGGTTTGAATCATGAAATGTGACCAATAAAAAAAAAAGAGAAAAGCTATTCATTGTGACAGTATATTATTTTATAGCCTGCATAATGTCAGAAACAAGCGTTTCTACAAATGAGAAAAATGGGCATTGCCAGTTATTGCTGTTCCACTATAAGATGATCAGAGGCTACTCTGTGGGTCTTGGCCCACAAGGAATCGCAAATCCCATAATGATTTATAATGTCAAGGAATGTGGCTGCTTAAACCGTAAATAAGGCTTTAAGTAATAAAATAGACCCTTGTTCCGTTAAAATTGTCAGAAGCTTTCAAGCTCTTCCCAAAATGTCCACCATTTAGCCAGTCCCTCTGCATCACATGCAAATGTTAAACTTTAACTCTGTTTATGTCAACGTCAAGAATCTATGTTTAGCAGCATAGCTGTTATGAACTGGTGCTGGAACTGAGCCCTGGGACAAAATGAATAGAGGAACTGAGAGAAGATGAGAGGCTTCTGAAGTCATGCAGTCTTCAAATGACAGGGTTATAGGACCTACAAAAGACGTCCCAGACTCTTAAAGTCTGAGAGCTAAAAATGTTTATGTACAGTTGGTGTGCAATGATTTTGAAAATGTCAAGACTGAAATGACATCTGTAGCTAACCTGATACAGCAGGAGTCCCTCATACTAGCTCTAAAGTCCATGTTGTCTTCTAACAACATGTCACTACTCTCATTTAATTGCCTGGGATGATGTCAGCTTTGATGAAAAAAGGCTTTTAGCTACCAATGTACTGAGGATGCTGAATTTGTGGCTGCAAGAGTGTTCACAGCTCACTTGTTCTTTTGCGTACCAGATGATCACGTAGTCTACAAGACGAAGGCTCTGAAAATTATTTTAGCAACTTTGACTGGGATAAAGTTGATATATTTGCCAGATCACACAGATCAGTTTTACTACAGTAGAGAAGCACAGTAAATATCAAAAATATCTCAGAAACTTTTGCTTCTCAACAGTTTACAACTGTTGGCAGGACGGAACAACAGATGCACAGTGGGAATGAGGCTTCATCTGCAGTAATGTGGTGCTGATTTGTTCTGTTGTGGTGAAGAAAAGTCTGAGCCAAAAAGCAAAGCTCTGGATTTACTGGTCTATCTACATTTTGACCCTCACCCTCTGGTCTTAAGATGTGGATCATGCCAATGAGTTTCCTCCAGAGGATGACTGGACTTAGCTTTAACAGGGAGAACAAGCTCCGTCATCCAGAGGGAACTGAAAGCACAGCCACTACTACTACGCATCGAACAGAGTCTGTTGGGTGTGGCTCTCAAAGACCACACCCAACAAAATTGGTCCTGTCAAAGACCAATTTCTTAATGAACTCTCCACATTTTAAATTAAAACACAAAGTTCAAAACCAATAAATGAAATGGAAATAAAAACCACGCCCAACAGAAACCATAAATTAAAAAGGATTGTGATGTAAACAAAGTTGCGACAGGCTTAGTGATAATTACGAATACTTTATTGAAGTCACCTTTGATATTGTTCAGTTTTATTGGCATACATTAATGTATGTGTTAATGTAGCATCATGCAGTAACAGCATCTTCAGCAACAGTTAGTGGGTGAAAGGTTTATTTTCACATCAATGAGCAATCAAACACTTCAAATATTAAGTTGGAATCATAATATCTTCTCTTGCCCATAATGCTAGTTGTGGTAAACTGTGTGTTATATGAGGAACAACAATAGGTACGCACTGTTTAATTTTCCAAATAAAATGTGGCAGCCCTGTGAACAAACTGCTTCTCCAACAGAATGGTTCCTTTGGACACCGTGTGCAATGTGTGTTTAGAAACTGTGAAATGTGGTAATATTCACTCAAGTTTAATCTCCAAGTGGTTACTATTTTATTCAGCCTCATCAGAAGCAACCTAACACATGAAGCTACACAAACACGGAAAAATCATGGAAAAAGCAAAAGGTATGTGAACACACCCTGCCTCATGCCACAATCTGGTGAGAAAGCTGTGCCACAGAGATCGGCGGGTTACTTCTCGTGTTTTTCTGCTTCTCCAGGCTGAGCTCATGCGAGAAAAAGATATTTATTTCTCTGGGGAGATTTAATAATTCCGCAAATTCAATCTATATTCCTCCCTGGTTGGCTCTGTGGCCCGTTTCCACCGCTTTCTCTCTCCCAACTGTTGAATGGCATTTTCCAAAACTCCAATAATGACTAGATTCAATTAAACTGTGAACTCTTACACATGATTCTGTGATAAATGAGGGGAAACACAGGCAGGGTAGACCAGCTCGGCTTTGATGCCTTCATTCTTACCTTTACAGAGGAACCGCAGTGAGCTATGGACAATGTGAGCCTTTCATTTAATGTCTGTGTGGAGCTGTGGGCGCACAACCCACAGGAGTACAGGATCAGTACGCTAGACCCGCGCACAGCATGCACATATTTATTCTCGAATCACACACTACGCCAAATAGTTCTCATAAAGTTGCATGCAATTACACTTCGGTTTGGCGCCTTAAGTCACAAATCAGGGCATGGAATTTATATGAATTAAGTTAATGCACAGAGCGGCACACCAACGTGTTTCCCCCAGCATCTAGCTGTGTGGTTCGGCTTCACCCGAAAACTCGTAAAGGTTGCGGCTTTGTAAAAAAAAAAAAAAATATATATATATATATATATATATATATATATATATATATATATATATATATATATATATATATATAAAAGAGGAGAGGGTGGGGGAGGGGTGGCATTTTTGAGCCTCTCAGCACCTTTTCCTAATGGCAAACATAAAACTGCAACCGTTTTGGGCGAAGCAGGAGTAGCTGGCAGTGAGTGAGATTAATGATGAAAAGTGTGGCGCTTCAGTGCTGGTTAGTCATTCCCAGGACAGGAAGTTAAACTTTCTTCAGTAATCATTGGGTATGTTTGTGAAAGGGGGAACTTTTCCCAGTCCCCAGTTTGATCCTGCGATGAATGATTTTCTTACATCCTACGTATGTGAGCGAGGCTCTCCGAGGTACGGCTCGTTTCTCAACACCGTCTGCGTCTAAGCCGCCCGGCCCTCACCGTTCCTTTGAGGAGCCGTTCTGAAGATGTGCGACACGTCTGGAAAACGTTAGCTTTTATCATTCGGAGATGAAGAAAAGAAAAAAAAAATCTCTTCTCCAGTTTTCCTAAGGTTCCCCCTTCTCAGCAACAGGAAGTCATGTGGCGTTTGAAAGGCTAACCACAACCTTTATGCCCCCTCAACCTTGTGCCCCCCTGCACCCCCGCCTCCAACCCCCAGCTTTGATGAGCGTAATTGAGAGCTGGTTCCATGGAAATGAAAAGGTAGCGATGCTTCATCATGTATAATCATTGCATGTTATAAAAACTGAGCAAGTCAGTTGGGGGGGGCGGTTGGCACAATGGCGAGAGCTTAAAATGGTTAAAGCATAAAAAACAATGAATATCTGAATCTGAGAGGATGTTATTTC